TGCCCCCACTGCTCCCAGTGCCCCCACTGCCCCCACTGCTCCCAGTGCCCCCACTGCCCCCAGTGTCCCCACTGCTCCCACTGCCCCCAGTGTCCCCACTGCCCCCAGTGTCTCCACTGCCCCCAGTGCCCCCACTGCTCTGCTCTTCATCCCTCCTCTGTGCCTTTTTTTTTTATTAATCAAAATTTTCAACAGAAAAAGTACTATTTTTTTCTTAAATTGTTTTGAGCCTAGTGTTTTATAAGGAAATTGAAACTTACCGGTTCAACAAATTCAAACTTCTTTTTTTCTTGGACCTCTTGAATTTTAAAGACATATTCTAACGATGCTTCATAGAAGTTCTGATGTTCTCGGTCAATTTGTGTATCTGCCTACAGAGTCAAAAACAGGCAAAGGATGACACAGAAAGTGATTATCAGTGGTTGACATAGAAAGGGACTCAATTCGTGTTCTACTCTGAAATTTTATTAAAAAGTAATTCTTGTAGAGGCTGGGCCTGGTGGCTCATGCCTATAATCCTAACACTCTGGGAAGTCAAAGCAGAAGGATCCCTTGAGCTCCAGAGTTCAAGACTAGCCTGAGCAAGAGCAAGACCCCGCCTCTACTAAGAAGAGAAAAATCAGCCAGGCATGGTGGCTCATGCCTGTTATCCCAGCTACTCTGGAGGCTGAAGCAGGAGGATTGCTTGAACTCAGGAGTTTGAGGATGCTACGCGTGAGGCTGACACTATGGCACCCTAACCTGGGGCAAAAGAGCGAGGCTCTGTCTCAAAATAAATAAATAAATAAATAATTCACACAGAAAGTTTTAATTTAGCACTTATTACGGTCCTTGACCATAAGAACTTACAGTGTGTAGAGTGATAGATACATATACATGAACAATAAGCCTTCCACCTTTGCTGCAGTAAAAAATACACATATGTATGCCAGGGGTGGCGGGTTCAAACCCAGCCCTGGCCAAAAAAAAAAAACTACAAAGGAAAAAAATACACATATGCATATATATTACAGAAGAGCTATATAAATATAAAGGAAAATCTAGGTGATCATAGAAGGAGACACTAAATTCTCAAAGAAAATGTTTGAGTTGAAGGAATCGTCAGATGAACAGCGTGACAATGATACAGAAAAGGGAGACACTGCTCTTATGAAAAAGTCCAGAGACGTGAAGCAGTCTGACCACATTTGGCAATGCTATATATTAATACTACAGGCTCAGCGCCTATAGCTCAACCGGCTAAGGCGCCAGCGACCTGCACCAAAGGTGGCAGGTTCGAATCCAGCCCGGACCCACCAAACAACAATGGCGGCTGCAACCAAAAAATAGCCGGGCATTGTGGCAGGCGCCTGTGGTCCCAGCTACTTGGGAGGCGGAGGCAGGAGACTCACTTGAGCCCAGGAGTTGGAGGTTGCTGTGAGCTGTAATGCCACGGCACTCTACCCAGGGGGACAGCTGGAGGCTCTGTCTCAAAAAAAAAAAAAATACTACAAAAGATCTTGGGTACTGCATAATAAATTAGGATTTTTAATTGAGGGAGAAACATCTGAGAATATTAGATAGGAGAGCCACCTCACTAGAAAGATAATATTGGCAGCAGAGTCAAAAAAATAAGAAATAATAAGAAAGAAAAAAAAATTCAGTGGCTCTGCCCTGACGAATGATGCTCCATCAATCCCAGGCACGTTTCTTCTATCTGATCGCAATAAGGTTGTATTGATAAAGTGCAGGAGAGTGTTACTGAAATAATTTCATTTTCATTTACACTTCGCCTCTTGTTCACTTTCTCTGTGCACTATCGCTGCCAGACACACTCTTTAAAGTAACTCTGGCTCAGCAGAGAAACCTGGGTTACCGTTTCTGACCCATTTCACACTCCTCATTGCCACCTGAGATTACTAAGAGCCGATGAAAAGAAGGGGCTCTCTGGATTACTAAGTGTTCATTAATTGCTGGGCATTGTGGCAGGTTAACGGTTTGGGAACAGAAAACTGCTTTGAATTTTGAAGCCATTCATAATGCTAACTGCAAAAATAAGATCTAAAAATAAAAAAAATCGAATTAGATTTGTTGGCTTGCATATCTTCTGATTTCATCTAGAACCCCTTTAATAACACAGTTGACCCCGGGACAGCATGGAGGTGAACGGGGCAGGGCCCCTGACAGGCAGATTCTCTCTGGTCTCTGCCACCCCGGGAGGGACAGCAAGACCAGCCCTTCCTTTTTGTCCTCTTCTTCCTCAGCCTGCTCCATGTGAAGCCGATGGTGTAGACCTTCTGGAAAGCTTCACTTCCACCTAATGAATAACCATATTTTCTCTTTCTTACGATGTTCTTAATGACATTATCTTTTTTTCTAGTTTGCTTTATTGTAAGACTATGTACATAAAACATATAACATACAAAATATGTCTTATTCAACTCTTTATATTATTATAGTAAAGCTTCCAGTTAACACCAGACTACTCATAGTTAAGTTTTCTGGGGAGTCAAAAGTTGTATGTGAATTTTCAATGGCACAGTGTGGTAAGGTCAGTACTGCTAGCACCTACACTGTCCAAGGGTCAATTATAATTATATATATATTTTTATGCTGTTATGGATGTATTCATATAATTACAAGCAACCTAACATTATCAGCAACTCAGTAGGGGGTTTTAAAGTTGAGTATCCTACATTTATAAACTCATATATGTGAAGATTACATACTTCAGGTAGGAGATTTGAACCAAAAACTTCTTAGCTCCCGAATATCATTTAGGAAAGATAAAGGTTAACAGCAACAAAAACAACAACAAAATCAGCATTCCACAGAATCTCATTTCTTTCCTTTTTATCACCACGAGGAGAAGAACACACCATGTGTAAAGATGAGTTAAGTCAATAATGAGGGATGTGGCTTAGCGCCCATCGCTCAGTGGTTAAGCTGCCGGCCATATGCCCTAGGGCTGGCGGGTACAAACCCGGCCTGGGCCTGCCAAACAACAATGACAACTACAACAAAAAAATTGCTGGGCATTGTGGCAGGAGGCTGTAGTCTCAGCTACTTGGGAGGCTGAGGCAAGAGAATTACTTAGGCCTAAGAGTTTAAGATTCCTGTGAGTTATGACACCATGGCACTCTACCAAGGGTGACAAAGTGAGACTCTGTCTCCAAAATCATCATCATCATCACCATGGGGGATGGGTTGTCAGGTCAGTAAATGTGTAACAACTGGCTGGCTGGGGAGAAAAGACTGATTTGTGGTATCTGGTGGTTTCTGTGGTGCAAATATTCCCAAATGGCCAGTTTCAAACCATAAACCCAACATCCCTGAATGTGAGAGCTGGAAAGAGAGGCAAAAATGGGCTGTCCAGAGCAAGCGTCAGGACGCTACTAGGCATAAGGGGTGCAAGAATATTTTCATTTTCAGGGATAACATTTTTTCCCCACAAGTTATTTTGAAGATTTTATTTTCTTTAAAAGACAGTGCCATTGACTTGGCTGCCTTGCACATAGGAGCAAACTAGACTGTTTGAGGCTGTCAGAGTCCACAGATGCTTTCTGGTCAGCAGAGCCAGGCAGAGGAGAGCACAGCACGCCCCAGTGCTGTCTCTTTCAAAGGTCTGCTCAGGAGGCTGGCGTCTGGGAATGGGACTTCAGGAAGGTTCCCATCACTCTAACTGATAAGACATGGCTTACTAGGCCTCAACTGTTTGTATAAACAATATGGTTTATGCAAACACCTCCTTTCCTTCTGGGAGTATGGAATTTGGGTTCAGGCCAGCGGAGGGTCCCTCTGTGAACAGCCTCTAGTGCAGCCCGGGGCACTGAGTCTCTAAGGCGCTCCTGGGGAGATGACAATTTACATGTGTTGCCACAACTCACTGCTGGGAATCGAGCATGTCCTGTGTGTCTCCCCGGGAGAAGACTCTCAGAAAGTTATACCTAATCTCTCCCAGACCCACACATGCACCCTTCCCCCTCACTGAGCTTTCTTTATGGTCTTTCACTAATACGTCATGAGTATCACTATGTGCTGAATCCTACGAGTCCTCCCAGAATATCACAAAACCTGGGTGGTCTTGGGGACACTAACACAAAACTATGACATCACTCCTTCATCCTCTCACTCCCCCACCACCCTTCCGTAAATGCAGGGGGAGCACAGGAAGGATGAGAGAGAAGTAACGACTCTTAGCATTTGCCAGTTATAGATGTTTTATCACCTTCAGTACAGATAACGGAAATCCAATATACCAAAGCTGCTTTGAAAGGTCATCCAGAGTGTAGAGTACTTAAGAAATACAACAGCTTAATTCCTTTTCAGCCTAACAGTTAGAAAGGCATTCTTATACCTAAAATAAATCCGTTTAGCAGAAAAACTTATACACAGAGTATGTGGTTCATTAGTAAATACTTGCTTATAACCCCCCTAGCAAGTAGTGCTATATATGTGGTATTGGGTAAGTAGGGTGATCATAAGTTTATCATTCAGACTAGGACGATTTTCACCCTGGAAGTGAGCATTAGTAATCATTATACCAGAACAATAGATGTAAGCTGTTGTGTGCATAGCACAAGGAACTCCAAAGGCTGAAACCAAATTAGTTTAACAAGAAAATCGTACAGTTCTGCAGATATCTAAATCCTTCCTAACTACAATAAACTACCCACTTCAAAACAGAAGGAAAAGCCTTAGGGGGTATTTGTTGAATCATTCTCAGAGGAGAAAGATTTAAGTTGGTCTCTAAAGAATGATCAGGAGATGAAATGAGAACAGTTTCAGAGAAGGAATGGAGTCAGGAGAAATGATATTTGGGTAGATCAAAAGATTTTTTTCTAAAGGTTTTGTTTGGAACAGACAGAAAGGGAAGTTAAGGCAGAAAAGATAGAGTAAGTGTAGACTTCATCCGATAGACAGATCTAAGCAACATTTCATGAAGATTAACACAAGGAAAGGGCGAAATACAGGGATTCAATGATCAAATGTTGTGCCTGGGAATATAAAGAGATCCCTTGTTTGATAATGGAAAGAAGAGTTAAAAGACATGGGTATGAGAAGCAAGGGGAAAGTCAAAGACAAATTTATACAAGAAATGATAACAGCATTAAAAGATAATTAAACATGTTGGGGGCGGTGGCTTGTGCCTACAATCCTAGCACTCTGGAGACTGAGGTGAGTTGATTGTTTGAGCTCAGAAATCTAAGACCAGCCTGAGCAAGAGCAAGACCCCATCTCCACTAAAACCAGAAAATATTAGCTGGGTGTCATAGCAGGAGCCTCTAGTCTCAGCTACTCAGGAGGCGGAGGCAAGAGGATGGCTTAAGCCAAAGAGTTTGAGGTTTCTGTGAGCTGTGACGCCACAGCAGTCAACCCAACGGCAACAGAGTGAGACTCTGTCACCAAAAAAAAAAAAAAAAAAAGGGAAAGAAAGAAAGTAAAAAGGAAGGGAAGGAGGGAAGGAAACGTACAAAGATTTTTTTAAAAAAATATAGCTAAACAAATGAGAAGATAAAATTCAAGAAATGGTGGTGGTAAGCAAGATCTCACGTGTCACTAGGCAGTGGTGATCCAAAGTCCTGGTAACTAGGTCGGCAGCAGCATCAGACATGACAAGGTCAGGACCCGAGAGGTGCACTCATCAGGAAGTGAGAGACAATATACAAGTAGGAGAGATTTCAGAGTCATGAATCAAAGGATGAAAACAGAGGTATAAAATTAAAAGAAAAGAAGAGAAAAGAGAGAAGAGAAAGAGAAATTAAAAGAAAATGAAGTTTGCGTCACTGAGGAACTGAGGGTAAGAAGAACCTGTTGAAAAAGGAACCAATTTTCCCCTTTGCTTTCTAATGACAGACGTAATACATATTCCTTATTGTAAGTGTATTCATTATTCACTGCTATAACAGAAAAATGGACAAACAAGTGCAATCACACTGTTAATATTTTTATGTGTAAAGGGTGCGTGCGCGCACACACACACACACACACACACTTTACTTATTTTTTTTAGAGACATGCTCTGTCACCCAGGCTGGACTGAGCTTAATCGATCCTCCTGCCTCCGCCTCCTGTGTAGCTGGGACTATAGGTGTGCACAACTACACCCAGCCACTTTTTAAATTTCTTTTGGGTAGAGATAGGAACTCACTATGCTGCCCAGGTTGGTCTCAAACTCCTGGACTCAAGTGGTCCTCCCATCTTGGCTTTCCCAAGTGCTGGGATTATAGGTATGAACCACTGCATCCAGCCCAAACTTATTTTAAAACAAACCTGGGATAATAATGCATATTCTTGTTTAAATTTTCTTTTATTCCCTTGCCTAATCTAATGAACAACCCCCAATATCTTTAAATGATTTCCCAAATAAAACTTTTAACAGCCATATCACATTCACTTTTGGTTGAACATATTTACCTTAATTACTCTTTTGTGCCATTTCAGTTCTATCTAAATTTTTGTACTGTGAATAACTCTTGTATCAATATTTAAGCAATATTTACACAGTTTTTGTGTTTATCTCTAATAATTTCTTTGGGGTAAATTCCAACTAAAAGAAATAATCTCAACTACCTTCTATGTTCAGATTTGTTGAAATACCATGTCAAACTTACCTTAAGAATGTCTGAATCTTTTTGTGCTCCAATCAGTAGAACAAAAGTCTGCCCTGTTTCCTACAGCTCCAGTAACCATGGGTATTATCTTTTAGTAAATTGAAGTGGTCAGTCTGCATTGACCTAACCATATTTATTATAGTTTACATTTCTTCTTTGATCAATGTCCTTTTGTGTCCTTAGCCCATTTATTCCACTGAAGTGTTTCTCTTTTTCATACCGACTTGCAAATGCTTCTTCTTTGTGAGATGACGGTGCTTTGTCCTATGATATTGAAATTCCTGAGTGCTTTCTCATTTAATTCGGCTTAAGGTCTCTGGACATAGATATTCTTACAGGTTCAGATCTTTCTACATTTCCTTTGTGATCTCTTCCTTTCATTTTATGCTTAGAAAAGAATTATGCATCCACATATTGAATATTACTCCTTTCCATCCATTATAAATGGATAGAATTTTGACAAGTCTGTTTCCCATTCTCTAACTGTTTACTCTAGTGACCTGTCAAATTGATGGCCCTCGGATTTTGTCAACATAAACTGACTCTTCAATTTGGTTCTAGAAATGGGCAGCCACTTATTTTCCATGAGCAAAATGAATAAGGTGGTGCAGGTGGGAAGGCACACAGGGGTCTTCTGAGAACAAGTTACTAAGCTTGGTGCTGAGAGAAGGACAAGAGCTGCTCTAGAAAGGGACAGGGGACTCTTAATGCCAAGGGCCAGGGATCTCTGAATGCCATGGCACAGAATTAAACACCTGTGGAAGCATCTGACTATGACAGGTTGGGTTCTAGGAGGGGTAGAGGAAGAAAAACTCAAGCCCTATTCTTTCCATGTCTACATTCTGTAATACCTGAAAAAAAAACATTTTAAAATAATTTGTTTGTTGTATCATGTTAGGGGCTGTATCTCCTGGAAAAGAAGTGAGTGGGGTGTGTGTGTGGGGGGGGTGTTACCACCTATATTACGCTATTTTCCAGCTTCCCGCTAAATATAGCACCAGAACAAATATTCTATTATGCCCTACCTTACGGGATTTAGGTCCACTAACAAGGACAAGTATTAAATATTGACCAAAGTTGGCAGGAAAATTTGAGACCTATTCTCCAGAGGACCTTAAAACTAGGATGAAGTTATCATTTCCTTACGATGGCTTCAGCAGAGTCTTGTCTAAGGGTGGCTGCTCATGTATGTTAGGAACCTAAAGTTCTTCAGGGACTCTAAAAATCACCCGTGATTTTGCAGCAATTTGTAAAAGCACCTGGTGGTAGCCGGGGGCACAGCAGGTGACAGTGAGCTGGCAATAATCAGAAAGCCCCTCTCCACACGACTGCACCCCCATCCAGACTACAATTCACTCTGAGTAGGGTCACCCCAGGACAGTGAGTGATGAGAAGTACAAGCATTTAAGACATCACAGGTAAACATACGAGGGAATTACAAAAGCAGTACCAAATATTCTAAGATTCAATGTGTCCAAGAACATTAAGATAGAATCTTGCTTTCTTTAATGACAGGTTATGTTGCATTTCACTTTAGTCACAAGATCTTTTCATAAGCTCACAATGTGAGCTTGTATGTAAAATTATACTATTTTAATAGCAGGTGTTAATAACAGAAGGCATACTAATAAATTCATGTTTAATATCAAGCAAAACAAAACTTTCCAATATTTAACATCTTTAAATAAAGAAATGTGATGCCCTAGATGAAAACAGAAGTATGCTGAAAAAATAAAAGGAATCAGATGCCAAAAAAGCATTCTGGTTCCATTTCGACGCTATGCAAACTTTGTAAAACTCTAACTTGTCACGTAGGACTTGGGGCTAAACTGGGAGGTAGGAGAAATACGCAAATAAATATGGAGGAGTGAGGACCATTTTTTGGCATCTGCCGTTGCTGAAACTAAAACTTCACTACTCCTCAGTCAAAGGACTGCTCTGGAGTCTAACAACAACAGCTAAAAACACCACCGAGAGGAAGAATCAAAGACTTTTAGACAGAGAAGCAGCAGACTTGTTTACACGTGTAGATTTAAGTAAAGTTTTTCTGTTCATTTGTTCTTCAAAAAAACCTATATAAAAAATGGAGATTTTGAAACACGTAGTTTTTTCCTACAGAAGAAAGGCTTTAAAATCAGTGTCACAGATATTTTAAGCTTAATATAAAGGCTATAATATAAATTTCATAGGTCCCTGCCTCTTCAAATACGCCCAAAAAGAAGAAAAAGGTTTCATTTCAACCTTTCTTGTTGTTGAAGGAAATTCTAACCTTTCACTTGGAACTGTTAATATTCAATGCCATACGGTGTTGAAAGCATCTGTTGGTAGTAAGTGCTCAATGCAGTCAGTTATCATTACTGTAATTATTTGATTAAATAGTAGCATTCTTTGAGATACTTCCATGTTTGGCAATTTTTACTTTACATAACTTAATGTTAATGCAGTTAAATGGAAAACCTTACCTCTTGCAAATGAGACTCCTTTTTCTTTGCAGACAAATTTAAATGCTTTTCAAGAATTGAGTAGTATTTTTCACTCTCTTTGTCAAACTTCTTCTTTCCATCCTAGAAGACAACAATGATAACAAAAAATTCAAATCAGAGCATCTTAAAAAACCTTAATTTTCACCATCTCCATCAAAAGTCCCACATAATTACTTAAAATTTAAAATTACTAAAAATTTAGTATGGGGTGGTGCCTGTGGCTCAAAGGAGTAGGGCACCAGCCCCATATGCCAGAGATGGTGGGTTCAAACCTAGCCCTGGTCAAAAACTGCAAACAAACAAACAAAAAAATTAGTAAATTCCAAGAATCTGCAAAACCTTAATTTCATAGAGTAGAAAGAACAATGTTAAGTAAGTTATTTGGGTATGTACACTGCTTTCAAGAAGATTTCTGTCTCGTGGGGATAAGCACACAGATACACAAACCCAGCAAGTCACAGCTCCTTTGGAGCTCACAGAATCGTAGTCTGGGTGGGGACCCGCTGGCTACACGAGGGGCGCTTTGAGAGCCTATAGTAATGATTGACTCCAAACAAGCAATTCTGACCCAACAGGTCCAGGATGTGACCAATATGAAAATGCCTTTTTGGTGATTCAAATGAGCTGACACACTACATATAACCAGTCTAGAGAACTGCTCACACAAACTCTTTTACACAGAATAATTATTTCTCAGCCACAAAAGAAACCTGGTATTTCAAACAAATCGATCTTAACAGGGAGGTAAACAAAGTTTTCAATCTTGGTAGCTTCAAATGAATAAGAAAAGATCAATAACGTCTATATCAAATACCCACAATATAATTATAATAGCTTGCCTATGCTTATTTCTGAAATGCTAAGAGTTTGGGGGTGGACGAGGGAGAGAGAGCCCCTATGAACAGAAGGCCTTCTGCAGAGGAGGGGAACAAATTTATCTTTTATCCCACGGCAGATTCCACAGAAATGCAAATGGAGAGAAACACTGAAGGAACCGGACATACCTGAGCACACAGTCTTCTCCTGCTATAAATGCGGTATCTACCACGTAAGCCTTTCCCATGTATGAGACTACACGACATGTTTCATAAATTTCACTCACTAAACAAATACCTTCCTTTCCTTCATTTCAATGTCTCTGAAACTGTAATCTCTGGATCACCTGAATCAGAATCAAGGGTGTACAAGCTCGTTCAAAATGCAGATTCCTGTTTTCTTCCACCCAGCGGTTCTGGAATTGTTCTTAATAAGCTCTATGATTATTATGCATAATTCTTTGCTTCATTATTTTCATAAGTACCTGGAAGGGGTTACTTAAAAATAATGGATGGATGGAAAAAATGAGGAAAGGGTAAGGAGAGGGAGGGAAGTTCAAGGAGAGAAGAGAAGGGCTGTAGCTTGGGCGGGGGGGGGGGGTTCCCAGGTTTACCTATTTAGGTAAATGCTATTTTGATCCATTGGCCCTCTTATTTTCCTTCTTCTTCTTCTTCTTTTTTTTTTTTTTTGAGACAGAGTCACAAGCTGTCGCCCTGGGTAGACTGCCATGGCAACATCATAGCTCAAAGCAACCTCCAACTCTTGGGCTCAAGCTGTTCTCTTGTCTAAATTTTTCTATTTTTAGTAGAGATGGGGTCTCGCTCTGGCTCAGGCTCGTCTCGAACCTGTGAACTCAAGCAATCCACTTGCCGTGGCCTCCCACAGTACTAGGATTACAGGTGTGAGACAGTGCACCCAGCCTGATTTTTCTTCTTGATTACACTTCCAGGAACCCATTCTGAAATTTTGCCATACATGGAATTTTAGCAAGTGAGTTGGTAACATTGAGTTCAAAGGAAAAATAAGAGCTTTCTGTTTTAAAAGTTCAAGTCACTTTTAGACCATGTAAGTACTGAGATGTCTGTAAAATAGCACATTTGCAAATGACAGGGAGAAAGTCAAAATCATTAAAGAATTTCTATTACCTACGGATAAAATGTGGTCCTAGGAGAAACACAACTAGACACAAGTGCAGCATTCCTATCCAGAAAAGGTGCACCGAGGCCTCCTCACACTTCAAACTATACAGTGTTGGACTTCAAGGGGAGCCCAAGCCCAGCACATGAGTCCACCACGCCCGCCCCCATTGCTGGAACAGATACCGGGTGGATATTCCATTTCTCCTCAGTGGATGGTACTCTATAATCTGGCCTTTCAGCCCACAGCTAACCTGCCACCCGTTTTTCCAAAGTCTCGCTCACTAGCTTGTTTTGAGCTCCCTGATCTTGCTTCTTTTCCTCCCTGGGCCATCCTCTCTGACATAAATACTCATTTCTTCCATTTTCCATACATTCAAATTATATCTGCTTTAGTACCCAGCTCAAAGAAACGTCATTCACAATTCCCTACCATGGATTCTCTCCTTCTGAATGACTGAACCGAATAGCTTTCTATATGGTTCCCTCACAGTGTCCACGCTCTACGCTGGAGCAGAGATTTTATCTATGTACCTCATTCATCTTAAAATTGAATAGCTAGTGAATGCCCAATAAATATTTAATGAGCAAGTAAAATTCTTCTTCTTACAGTGGTGGCCACTGCAGTTCCTCCCAGACATCTATTTGTTCAACAAACTGCCATCCTTAGTACAAGGGCCAAACAGCCCTAAGTCACACTCAGTGTCCATGAATAATGTGGGTGATCAGCTACGTTACAGTACAGTGCATGAACTGACTCCCTTTCATCTTACAATAGGGGCTCACAATCCCCCACTGGGAACAGAGGAGGAAGAGGACGGCTCCAGAGCAGAGAGCACAGCTGTGGCAGTGACACTGGCTTCTTTGTTTTCAGTTAGTGTTCAGTGACGGCTTCCAAAATGTTAATTCAGTGCCAATACATCAGCATTCCTGGCAATACAAAAGTCATTCCCAGAAATACTTCCAGGATTTTAACCCAAACCCTGGCCCTTCACACCACTAGGCCAGTAAAAAATGATCTTCTCAATGTTTCCAATGATATAGAAAACAAAAGCACACGCAGTTCGAGCAAAGAACTAAAGAGCTGAGATAAAAGAGCAGCCACAGCTATAATCTAGGGATTTGTATTGTAGGAGACAAGGAGCACTTCTCCCTCTCCCCTCAAAGTCGCGATTTACTACTCCCATGAGCCGAGCCTTATTTGGACTTAGCCATGTAGCCCCACACAGCTGCTGCTCACCTCTTATGTGACTTGTTGCGACATCAAACTAAGAATTGTCTCCGAGATCAATATTGCTGACGGAAGGAGAAAACAACCATGAATTGTGTGCACTAAACGCTAAGCAACACCGCTGCCTTCCTAGTGCTACAGCAGGATTCAGAAATGGAGATCATCTATTACAATGGATGGTTTCTGTCAATCCAAGCAAGCACAACTGAATCATTTAAAATGAAGTCACAGAGAAATAATAATCATGAGGGAAAAAAGAAGAGGAGTAAAGTAGACAGGGATGTCCTACAGGAGTGTGAACATCTATGGAACAGTCGGACTGTGTTAGCATCATAATTGCTGCTCTCACTTACGATGCCCATGGAGAGAAAGAGACAGAGGAAGTGAACAACACAAAGACTGAGAACTTCTGAATAAAACAGGTCACTGACAATGGCAAGCTACTCCTCAAACCCAGCAACAGGTGCGAAAGGCAAGCTACGTGTGGGTCTGCCATTGGCATTTTCCACCGCAGGGCACCCACCTGAGCAGAGGTGTGTTCCTGCAGTGACTGTGGTCACACCACGGTGAGGACAGTGGGAGGCTGGGAGGCAACCACCACCATGGCACAAACGCCAAGGCATTGTGATATAGCTGGGCATTGTGGTGGGCACCTGTAGTCCCAGCTACTTGGGAGGCTGAGGCAAGAGAATCCTGTAAGCCTAAGAGTTTGAGGTTGCTGTGAGCTATGATGCCACAGCACTCTATGGAGGGTGACATATGAGACTATCTCAAAAATAAATAAATAAAAATAAAAAATAAAGAAATGAAAAAGCCTTACTTGTGTATTTTGAAAAATCTTTCAACTTTATACTTAATGCCAAAAACAGTAATGTGTAAAGTAATAATAACACATGAGAAATTCTTATAAATCATCACAGCTCTAGGCCCTAAAAACATAGGAGAGGATAAGAGGCAGCACCAACCACCTGACTAGACTTCTGTTTCTGATGTCAGAACGGCAGCCTCAGCACCATCAGCACTCCAACTCCTAGAAGGCCCAGCTGCCAGGATGCTCCAGCCCACATGCCGCTTAGGAGTTTCCTGAGGCCCAGAGATTTGGGCGTCCGGACGCTCAACTTGTTGAGAATCTTGGTGTAGCTTGCACAGGAACAATTCCAGTCTCCATAGTCTAGTCCCCACCCACTCCCCCATCCACAGTCTGACAAAATACAGACACACTAGAAGGACTTTCTTCTGGGCAAACATGCATCGTAATTCACTATCATCTTTTCCTGTGCCAGTCACAACACTGCCACCATCTGATTCACAGAAACCAAACAATTCATATTTACACATATAAGGAACTCCTACAAAGTGGACAGAAAGAGAAGCAAACAGATAAAAATATATGTCAAGGATATGAAGGAAAAACATACAGAAGAGGAGACCCAAGATGTGACAGCCACAAGAGGAGGTGCCCAAACGCACTAGTAAAAGAAGAAGAAAAGCACATTAAATCAGTGGGACATGGCATTCTACCTCCAGATACCACAGGAGTTAGGAGTTGAACAGTGCCATGGGCTGAATACAGGCAGAGATGCAGAGCCCTCACGGGCCTGTAGAGGTGCGCAGCCTTTGTAGAGGGAAACAGACCCATTAAGTGACATTAAGTGTGCCCTGCAAACCAACTGCTGGTGGGAATCCAAAGAAATGCCCACACAAACGTCCACAAGGACACATTCATCAAGGTGTCACCTGGGAATGGGAAGGGAGCCTGAGTATTTGTTGCCAGCTACCTAAAATGTACTAGGTACATGCCTTGGAGTGCTATGCAAAAGTTAGAGGAAAATATTAAACGTGGATGGATGTTAAAACACAGTTTTAAAGTATCTGAAGGGATTTGAAGCCCCCAGTCC